ATTAACTGAAATATTTTATTAAGAAAATGTTAGACATATGTTHTTAAAATAAGCTTAATATTCTTGTGCAAAACTTGCTTGTTAAAGATATTTTTTTCTTTTTAGACAAAAAATAAGAAATAATGTCCATAAACAAGTTTTATTTTACTTTCTTAAAAATCTCTTTTTGCAGTGCAGTTAACAGGCTGCTTTATCAGTTTCAGACTAAAAATATGACCCTGCTTCAGTCTTATGAGCATTCATTCCTGACTTTACCAACTTTTCCTTCAAATAAATCAGTTTGTTTGTCCCAGGATAATTTCTGTGTTGTGGTAATGAAGAGGGACATATTATAGGTTTCATCACAGAAAATCTCGTGGAGATAAACCAGTCAGGTTAATGGAGAGGATTGTGTTTTTACCTTCTCTGTACACAACTAAATCAGTCAGATATTCATAAAGAACGAATGTCTTTGCAAACCAATAATAATCTTATCATAGCACAGAACTTTTACCCAGATTGAGATCCACAATTTAAGAACAAGGAGATAAGACAGGCAAACTGCTGGCTCATGAACAACAACAAATATCTGCCTTCCAGCTGATAGCTCGAGTTAAAACTGGTACAGGCAGGGGCGAAAATCCCATCTCATTATTGGGGGGCGTCATCAAACAGGGAAATTTTTAGGAGTATTTTTTTGGGGGGCGGGAGGTCCACCTAAGTTCGCAGTCAAATGTACTGTTGTAAAATGAAATTAAGATAAACCATTAACTAGTTGATCAAGTTCTGTAGTCCAGTTTCAAAAACTAAGATACATCAAACAAATTTCTGCATTTAAACAGCAACAATTATTTCATCTTTTAATACTTACTTTAACACCCGGGTCACACGGTTATGTGACTTGCAACATAAGCTTATTTTCCAAAAATGTATCACCCTATAAACTACAAGAAGGGGTTTTTAATGGCACCAAAAAACAGCGCACACACAAAATCCAATGCACACAATGTGACGCACGCTCACACACACACAGTCCCGCTTGAGTCAGTCACCTCACGAAAAAAAAATCGGACATGTTATTTATGCCTCCTTGTTTCTCTCACAAACCGTGTTTCCTACAAGGCTTTTTGATGCGCATTCAGAAGTGTCGCATTAAAAATGCGAAAAAAAATTCGGATGGAAACAGCAAAATTCGAAAAAAAAAATCCTCAATTTGCTAAAAAGTTTTTACGATCGCTTCAGGTGGTTTTTGGATGATTCGCAAAGTAGTTAATGCTCAAAACGGGAGATGGAAACACRTTTGTCCAATAAATTCTGACGTAGTGCATATTTATCTCAAGTGACGTTCAGCTGTTTCCACTTTCCTGCCTCGTCCCGGCGTAGTTGCACATGCCTTTCTGCTCCATAGTTTAACATTGCGTTTATTTCCCTACGTCTCCTGGCAGCGATAAACATAGCCTGTACTTGCTGAATAGATAGAATAATTACAACTTTCCCAATAGCAAGGCATTCACGAAAAAAAATCGCTGCATTGTCCCAAGATGATTAGCCTCTGCTAGTTAGCAAGTTTCACTTTCTGTTTACTACCGCAAAGCTTGTCGCCGACGTCTGATGTAATCACGCGTTGCGTAGCCTCGTCTGACTTAATCACACATTGCGTAGCCTTGTCCGACGTAATCACACGTTGCGTAGCCTCGTCTGACGTAATCATGCGTTGCATAGCTTCGTCTGACGTAATCATGCGTTGTGTAGCCTCTCTGACGTAATCACACGTTGCGTAGCCTCGTCTGACGTAATCATGCGTTGCATAGCCTCGTCTGACGTAATCATGCGTTGTGTAGCCTCGTCTGACGTAATCATGCGTTGCGTAGCCTCGTCTGACGTAATCATGTGTTGTGTAGCCTCGTTTATTTGCATCAAACAGTTGAGAGGGAAATTAGATGGAAAAAGTCTAGATTCAAATTTTTATTTATTTAATTTTTTGCGAATTTTGAAAAGTTCGATGGAAATTCACTCTACAACTGGATGGAAACACGATTACAGATTTATAAAGGCTTTATATCTGTGCTCTTTGTAGCTTGACTCTGGAGCAGCTCCGACCGTCACAATGGACTGAACCATAGGCAGATAAGAGGGGGGATAACTAATTTTCAAAAGACATAAATGCATTATTTTGCCTATAAAAATAATGTAGTTGCTTTCTCTTGGAAGTTTGGCATTACTTAAAATTACATATTTGTGAAATTAATTGGGGGGGGGGGGGGTT